TTGATCTCCTTCACAGCAAAGGCCAAGGCAAGGATATGCTGGTAGAACTTGGTTATCACACTGCAAATAGATTAAGCACACACTTTTAAAAAAAAATAATTTTGCAAATTCTTCCTGTGTGGTCATTGTTTGCAACTAACTAACAGAAATTTTTATCTTTGATTAAAGTATTAAATCATGGATTAAATACTTTAAATACTGGATAAAGTATTAAATCATGGGTTCCTCATCACAGGACATATTATGGTAATTTCTAAAGTTTTAACTGCAGTATTCAGCTAAACTAGACTGGGATGGCAGGAAGTGTTCTGTTTGTTCTTTTCTCTGTTGATTTATCTTTCTAGGAACTTTACTGAATTTGAAAGAATTACAACTTTAGGGTGAGATTCTCTCTAGCCCCACACATTCTTCTGAAAATTTTCCGTTCAGGGATGTATGTAAGGTCAGATGATTCAAGGGAAAATTCTTACATTGGTGAATCATAAAGATTTAGGAAAGGATGTTGTTTGAATGGAATTTCATAAAAATAGTAAAGCGTATGAGAAACCATCCCACCGATGACAAAATCACCAGGCTGGTACCACTCGTGTGGGACAGGGAAGGCATCACTTGCAGGACAGCTCAGAGTAGCTCTTTTGTTCACCAGGAACACCAGGAGGAGCAACTTCATGACTCTCTGCTGATGGAGAAAGGTCTGGGTCTATCATTCAAAGAGAAGTTCTGGCAGATAAGACAGGAGAGAGAGAATTTGTGGAAATGCACCTCACAGAGTCAGCATTTCCCCTTCCTGCTTCTCTGTGCCTCTAGAAATATTTATATTGATTGCTTTTGATATCCTATTCCCTTCTGCACAGAACTTTTGAAGGTTTGACCTACTAGAATTATAGAGTGATTTCAGTCATTCATCAGGGACCTAATTATCATTGAACCATTGGCAATCTGGCAATTTTTGTTCATTTTTGTAAGTAGTCAACATCTTTCTCTACTTTGGGTGACAGAATAAGTGCCTGATGCTTAACCAGCTTTGAAAATACCTGGAAAAATAGAACTGGGAATGTTGAGATGACAAAATTGCCCTAAATATAGAAATCAGTTCCAATGTTTAATTTCATCAATGGATCAGATATCTCTATTTCCCTGTAAAATATCTGGAACAGACTTTCTCAGCCTCAGCAGCTTTAAGACATGTAGACTTCAACTCCCAGAAATCCCCAGCCAGCAGGAGTTGAAGTCCACACATCTTAAAGTTGCTAACCTTGAAAAACACTGGTCTGCAGAAATGATCAAATGTCCACTCTCTGATACAGATTAGCAGGTTTTGGCTTGGGAATCCTTCATAAACCAGCTAAACAAGAAAGCTGAAATAGAAAATCATTGACCCCAAAGGGAAAAAGAGAAAAACCCTTGCTAAGGGCACAAGAGGAGGAAGGGATATTTGAAAAAGTTTTTAAAAAAACTTTTATATTTATCTTGTATGTGGTTTTTATAAGAGAAGGGGGGGGGAATCCCCCAGAGTCTCCTATCTGTGCTGCTGCAGGACCTATAAGTTGTTTTTTTTTTTGAAGAAGAAGAAGAAGAAGAAGAAGAAGAAGAAGAAGAAGAAGAAGAAGAAG